CTCCTGGATGCCTAGCGTTCATGGCACCAGAATGTGCCCCACAAGCTTCCAAAGGAGAAAAACACCCAACAGTCCTACCCAGCTATGACACATAGGAGCCCCAACAGTAACCAACACGGCATGACAGCCTAACAGGGCAGCAGTGGTTCCCGTACCTTGGTGATAACCAACAGCTCTCTAATTAGACATAAGAACCTCTCAACAAGAAGGAAACCTAGCCAGCTGGCCAGGGCTACTGAAGCCCTGTGAGTCTTGGAGGAGAACCTATAATGCCACTTTATTAAACCAGCCTAATCCCTAACTACATTCCAAATATTTGTCCTTCTACCCAGAGATAAGCGTCGTCCTCGCCTCTCACCAAGGAAACTTCTTTCGGTAACGTATGGAGACCATTACAGAAAAGCACGATGAACCAAAATGCTGAATGGCGGTGCTCAGTCCCAACTGATAACATCTACAATGCAACTCATGTACCTAAGGATCAAGGCTCATTGAATAAAAGGGGATGGAAAAAATGTAAGAGCCAGAGGATCAGGGAGTTTGCTGGGAGACTGTGTCTCCTAGGAAGGTTGGAAGCTATGCATAGAAAGTCTCACTAACATGACTACCTATGCATGAGCTGAACAAGGACAAAAATAGACATGCTAACGTGACTAGAATTTCCACTAGGGATGATGAAAACCTCACAGAAGGAACTTATCTATGATTAAAATGAAGACGTCTCATTCTGGCTCATTTTACCAAATGTCTTGTCAGAAAACCTTTAAAGAAAGATTTTCTTACTTCTATTGACAGGAATTGTATTTTATTTGTTGTGTGAATGTTACCTTTTGTAAATTTTAGAGAGTTTTTTTATATTTTTAAATAAAAAATTGTATTTACTTAGAAGCATTCAGAATGTCAACAAAACAGCTGCAGTTATTTTTGCAATTATGGAGTGGTATTCAGTTAACAGAACATCAAATATCTTCGTATAAGCTGCAGCAGAGACAACTGAAGATGAAAAAAAAAACCCAAAAAACAAAACCCCAAACAAAACAAAAAAACCTACCGTTCCATATATAACTAATTTGTGCTGTGCACCAACAAGAACCTGCTTTAAATTTCCATACCAATTTACAAGCCCCAGAATTGACCAGGCTAGGCTAGTGGCTATTGAGAATACCACCAGGACAGGGCTAAAGACACATTTGGCAAGTGAGTCCCAGGAAAGGCGCAAAGCTACACAGAGAAACCCTGTCTCGAAAAAACCAAAAAAGACACATTTGGTAGTCTGTTAACTATACAAAAAGAGACACTGTACAGTTTAAAAACAAATCATACACAGCCTTATATTTCAATTTTTTTTAAAGGAGTGAGTTGTGTACAGGGGAGTTAAATGCTTTATAGACAAGGAAAAAACTGCGCTAGAACCAACTTATTCATCATCATCCTCTTTTTCATCTTCGTCTTCCTCATCATCTTCCTCTTCCTTTTCTTGCTCTTTTCATCTTGACCACCCTCTTCTTCGCCGCCCCGGGTTTTCCTTCAGCTCTGTGGGCAGCGATACCCTTTTCGTATTTTCCTTAGCTCGGCAGCCTTCTCTTCACAGGCTGCCTGTCGTCTGCAGTGGTGATGCTCACATCTCTCCCAGCTTCTTTGCCGCATCACCGATGGACAAGCCGGGGTGTTCTCCTTTGATTTGGGGGCGGTACTCCGAACAGAACAAGAAGGAGGCCTCTTGGGTGCATTGGGGTTCTTGAACTTCTTTTTGGTCTCCCCATTGCGGGGGGGGGGGGCGTCAGGGAGGGGAATGTAGCTTTTCATTTCTCTTTCACAAGGAGCCTTGTAAGCCTTTGCCACGTCTTTAAATTTCCCCTTTACGCCAGGCAGTGGCGCATGAAGGTGGATCTCTGTGAGTTCGAGGCCAGCCTGGGCTACAGAGTGAGTTCCAGGAAAGGCGCAAAGCTACACAGAGAAACCCTGTCTCAAAAAAAATTTTTCCCCCTTTTCTTTAGCAGGCATGGTCTTCCACCTTTCTGAGCACTTCTTCGAGAACTCCGAGAAGTTGACAGAAGCATCCGGGTGCTTCTTGCACTCCTTTCTACATTTGCATAAAGAACGCATATGAGGACATTTTGCTTCTCGCGTCTTAGGATCTCCTTTGCCCATGTTTAGCTGATTTTCCTCTGCGAAGCGCAGTCGCCCAGTGCCCGTCTGGCTCTCGCTTGCCCCAGCGCTGTCTCTATGGAGCTCAATGTAATGTACTGCAATGGCCGTCTTTTTATATCTTTTAATAAGTAGTTAATAATGAGATCTCAACGAAAAATGACTTTATGAGTTTGTGAAAAAACAAATCTGAGTGTCCAGTTTGTATGTCTTTCTTCAGCTATACTTATTCATAATTTTGAAATTCTCCTAATATGGATTTTGGACACTATAGTGTATTCACTGACTTTGTGAAGTGGTATATAAGTTTATGATTTCTTTGTGTAAGTGGTATTTTCTATATAGTGATAAATACTAATGTTATTTTTTTTAAAGAATTACTACTATATGGCTGGGCAGTGGTGGCACATGTTTTTAATCTTAGCACTTAGGAGACAGAGGCAGGCAGATCTCTATGAGTTCCAGGCCATCCTGGTCTACAGACATAGTTCCAGGACAGCCAAAGCTACACAAAGAAACCCTGTCTCAAAAAAAAAAAAATCACCATCATACATAACAATATTGGGTGAATCTGAATAATTTATTTTGAGAATAAAAATCTAGTCACAAAAGATGTACACTATGATTCCACTTATGTGAAATTGAAGAAATAGTGGTGACATAATTAAAAATGATTACATCTAGTATGTTAGAATACTGACAAAAATAAGTTAAGTGATTCTTAATACCTTGATAATTTCCAGTCATTTGATATATCCAGTGTCACTTGAAGAAAACTGACTTCTCCCTTTCCCAGAAGCTATCATTTGCAGATTGCTTCTTGGCCAGTGTTGGGACTCTGTGCCCACCTCCCTTCATTGGCGAGGGTTTTGTCTGGCTTGAGCCTGGGCTCATCTTGTACATGCTGTCACAGTCTCTGGGTCCATACATGCATCTCCCCTGTGTGTCTAGAAAATGCTGTTTCCTTTACATCATCAGACCCCAATGACATTTTTAACCAGTTAAATTTAATTTATACTGATAACTTAAAATATAAAAGTTAGACACATTAAAGGAATACTATTAGATTGATCCATAGTGTAATATTTAAATTAGGCCAAGGACATCTGTCTCCTCAAACATTTATCATTTCTTCAGTAAAAACATTCCAAATCTTTTCTGTATGTTTTGAAGTACACAGCACACGTACCCTTCTATGCATAGCACAGCAGAGCATCTTACTCTTGCTCATCTTTAACATAGTATCTATCCATTGGTCAATCTTTGCTTATCACCCCTTTCCTGCTCACTCTCCTCCGTCTCTGGCAAACACCATGATGCTCTCAACTTCTGTGAGAGCAACTTTTCTATATTCCATGTCTGTCTTTCAGGGCCCGACTTAACTCATTTAACACGAGATTCCCGGTTCCAGTTGTATAATCGCAAAGACAGGATTTCATTCTTTTAATGGCTGAACAGTATCCAGTTGTGTTGTTTTCTTGATTCATTCTTTTGTTTATGAAACAATCACTTCCTCTGTTGGTTAAGAACAACGTTGCAGTGCACAGACAGCCTCTGACACACTGAATTTATTCCTTTAGTATAAATAACTAGTATCGAGATTACTTGAACTCACTGCAATTCTATTTTGCATTTCTTAGGCACTTTCATAGTGATTTCCATAACGGCTGTAAAAGTTTAGATTCCTACCAACAATTCACGAGTGTTCCTTTTACATCTTTGTTGGTATTATTGGTTTTGTTTTCTTTGTCTTTTTAGTAACAGTCACTCCTAAATGGAATGTGGTAGTATTTAACTGTATTTAACTGTGGCTTTTACTTGCAGTTCCCTGATAATTAGTATGCTGACCATGTTCCATATGCTTGTTTGTCATATGTCTTCTCAAAAGAACTGTCTGTTTGGGGAAAGTGGCATTTTAATCAATGATGTCAGCTTATGCAACCATGACATACCCAATAATCCTCTAGTTATCTTAGTTCAAGTACACTCTATAATGCTCACATAATAGCAAAATAACCCAGTGAAACATATTCCATCAAGTAATACACAACTGCACTTTGAGAAACACATACACACACACATATATACATACCTCAATAATACACATATATATGTATGCATTTGTGTATATGTATATATATGCGTATATGTGTGTGTATAAGCTTTTATTGAGGTGAATCAGATACTACAGACTACACTAATAAACACATATATAAGGTAACTTTTTAAGCGATAACTTTCAGTTGGAATTTCAGAGAAGAGAAAATAGCTGTGCTGGCCAGTTTTATGTCAGCTTGACACAAGCTAGATTAGATTCATTTGGGAAGAAATCTCACTAAGAAAATGCCCCAGCCATACCGGCCTATGGGTAAGCATGTGTTGCATTTTCTTACTTAGTGATTACTTACTTAGGAGGGCTCAGCCTATTGTGGGTGGTGTCATCTCTGTGCACGTGGTCCTGGGGTATTTAAAAAAGCAAGCTGAGCAAGCCTTGGAGAGCAAGTCAGTAAGCAGCACTCCTTCACGGTCTCTGCATCAGTTCCTGGCTCCAGGTTCCTGCCTTGAGTTCCTGCCCTGACTTACCTGGATGATGGATCAATCCTTTTCTCTCCAAGTTCACGGTGTTTTATCCCAGCAATAGAAACACTAAGGTAATAACATTGCATATTTGACATTGATTTAGTCATCCAAGGATGTCCAAAGTCATGTTCCTCATTATAATTTAGGAATACAATATATGAATATGCATTTTGAAAGGAGTTTGAATGGAGATAACTTGTGTGGGTGGACAATTTTGATCCCAGAAAAGACACTGAGCAGTGAGCACTTGCTATGGGAATTGCCTTCCTTACGTCAATTGGATTTCTGTAGAAGGACTGTCCTCCAGATGATGGAAAGGACATGGCAATAATACGATCTGGAAGTCAAAGGGATGGCTATGATGAATATTGTAATAGAGATGATACAACATGCAAAAACTTCATCTACATATAACAAAACTTTTTTTTTTTTTTTTTTTTTTTTTTTACAAAAAGTAACATTCAGGATAGAAAAAAATAACACATTCTCAGAGTAACCAAAATGATATAATACATTAAATTATCCAATACAATAATAATCATTAAACTGAAACAGTGATCTTAAGACTCAACTGGTTCATTCATGGGCCTCAGATTTTTGTCGGCCTAAGTCTGCGCTCCCTCAGTGCCAGTAAAATGTCTTTAACAAACCAAAGAAAACATCCTGAACTCCAGTAAGCACAGGAACTGCCAGAGTGCTTTTCAGAACATATGAGTCAGGAAATCTGAGGCCAACAGAGTAGAAACCTCAGTTGGTGGAGTTGTAAGAAGCTTGAAAAGTCTCTTGGGATCCTTGAGACCACAGGTAGCTATGAGAGCTGAATAAATGAAACTCCGGCTAAAAATATTTCAGCCAATTATCTACCCCACCTCCTGTACTACAGTAAAGTAGTTCTGGTTTGAAGTGGCATAAGTAGATACTTATTGCCAGGGTCACACTGCCATGATGACATGTGCACTGCTACATAAAGAATGTTTTGAAATACCATGGCAGAAATGAAAGAGAGCGTAGCATCTCTCAATCACACACAAAATGCAAAATCTTTATAAACAGTAGCATCAGGCAAGTTTCACAAACCAGTAACGTAAGTGAGGTCCAGGTCAAACCCATCCTTCTTGAACCGTCTTTTGTTTTTGGAAACCTGCATTGGAAAGTCATAAAGTTGTAAAACATGAATCAGTAGGAAAAAGGACATAATGTAAAGATCTACAACCTCAAAAGCGTTTTCAGAAACAGAAAACAAATGCATGCTGCCACTCACCAGCTGCCTAGTCAGCTTTTCAAGGTGCCTTTTTTGGTGAGCCAGCTGCAAAATTCTTATCAGAATAAGAAGTCGCAGAGGTCGAAATAAAACTGCCAATCTAAGTAAATGTATAGATAAAAAGTTAAATACCCATTTTTTTGGCTAGGAAAAAAACCAGAATATTTGGTTACTACGGATTAAGTTGAACACTTTTATAATTATTTATTTGTTTATTTTGGGTGGTGCTGTGGGTCCAGTCAGAGACCCTGTGAGGGGTTGGCCAGTTGCTCTACCTTGAGTGATGCCTCTACTTCTGTATTCAGTTTGGAACAGTGGTTCTTGGCCAGGACAGTGTTGTTTTACCCCTACGTAGAAGATAATTGTCAATGTCCAGAGACACTTTTGACTGTCATACTATTATGTGGGTGTGTTGCTACTCTATCAAGTGGGTCTAGGCTGGGAGTACTGATAAACCCTTCACCGTGAATGACATCATTTCCCAGAATGATCTGGCCTAAAATGTCAATGGTGCTAAGTTTGGGAAAGGCAGACTCAGAATTTGTGGTTTAACATCAGAGTTTTTCTGTTCTTTTCTTTCCGTGTGTGTGTGTGTGTGTGTGTGTGTGTGTGTGTGTGTGTGTGTGTGTGTGTGTGTGTAAATATATATATATATATATATATATATATATATATATATATATATATATATATATATATATATATATATATATATATGTATATATATGAACAGGGAATCACTACTACCGGTGGAGACACATCAGAAAACAGACCGAAATACTAACTAAGTATGCTTGCTGGTGTTTCTCCTATCATCAAAAACACCAAGGTAGAAAACTACTGTTCTCAGACACTGGGTCTTTAATATGAACAAGCCATCTGAAAGAGCTCTTTAAAGTTCTTTAAAGCATAGGGTATGGAGTGATGGGGTGGCTTGGCACTTAAGAGCACTTGTTGCTCTTGCAGAGGACCTGGGTCTGGTTCCCAGCACCCACATGACAGCTCACAACCACCTCCAGTTCCAGGGGATTCAATGTCCTTCTCTGGTTTCTGCAGGCACTGCTCACGTAAGGTGCGTACATATACTCACATGCAGGCAAAACATGCACACCCACATAAAATAAAAATAGTAAGTCTTTTTAAAGATAAAGCATGGGGTAACAGGCCCCAGATCCCCGAATTCAGTGGCTCTAAGGTAGCAATTGAGAGGTTTCTCAGGTTGTTTCGAACACACAACACATTTAGTTGAATCCTAGATTGAAGTCCTGGGAAGTTGGGGTACAGAAAGAAACCAGTTATTTGACAAATGAATAATACTACCCCGCAATCTTCAGACACACAGATCTTTTTTTTTCTACATTGCCACAGTAAAAAGGAGGGTAAAGTAGGGGAGAAAAGGAAAAAGGAGGGGGGAAGTAGGGGAGAGGGAAGGGCGAACAGAGAACTCTTCTAGTAGACCCTAACATTTCTGACTTTGCCAGAGGCTTCTCATTTCTGCAACTATACCGCAAAACTTCCTCTCTGTGGCTGCCCACGTTACCTCCTTGCTATGTTTATTACATCTTAGAGATATTAATTAGAGTCACTCAATTATATACATGCTCAACACTCTCTTGGTTATGGGGAAGTCCTAGGACTACAGAACTTCATATCTAAGGCATTTGTGATTGAAGCACAAATGGGAATTTTGGGATAATTTCATAACGTTCTGAAGTTCAAGTTGATATAAGAGGAGTTAAGTCCAGTTTCTTCTCCCCTTTGTACGTTCTCTTATTCAGCGAAAGATTCTTAGTATGTATATCCTCAATGGGCCCCTAAATGCCAACATATTTTAGTTTCAAAGTACATGGGAATTTATATAAATATTTCGCTTTTAAACCACTCATCTGGCACAGTCAAGAGGGTTCAGTTAAAATATTAAATAGAACCAGAGAAAACACAAGAAAACAAAAGAAACAACCCAGAAGAACAGGAGAAACAAAAGAGGAGTTTTGAGAGGTAAGTCGTGTTTCATACCTTGGGATATCTCTAAGAAACTTCTTGTCATAAAGTATGTAAGTGAGCGCAATGAGCAGGGTCACACCAATAACGACGGCATCTAGGGTGTTCAGTAAATCAGAAAAATAATTCTGTCTCCTGGAGCAAGGAGATGGGACAGTGTCAGAGCACAAGATATCCGACTCATCTTCACGAAGAATTCTATCTTCAGCCCTGTTGGTAGTCTCAGGAAGAAGCAGGTGGGTTATCCTACACTCACCTGAGAGTCTAACTGCTACCTGGCTTCTGGGCCCCACCCAGTCACCTGCATATAATTCTGTCCCAAGCACATATATTTTGTGGGGTGTGAAGGTTCACTGGAGTTGAGACCTGGCCGTGCAGCTTTTGAGAATTATCACCTATGATAGGGTAGAGGTACCCAAGCTGTTCATGCTTTTTGTAAGTAACCTCAATAAACTCACTAGTTCACTGAAATAAAAAGAACCCTGTCTTAATGTGTTTAAAATGCATTGTCAAGACTACTAGACTAAGGGGAAAACATCAATATAAAGTTTTCATGTGGTAAATTTATATTTATGTATCTATCTATCTATTGATCTATCACCTATGTATTTATCATCTGTCTTAATATCTACCGACCTATCTATCTGTCGTCTATCTATCTATCTATCTATCTATCTATCTATCTATCTATCTATCTATCTATCTATCATCTATCTATCTATCTATATATGAATCTATCTATCTATTATCTATCTACCACCTATCTAAAGTGTCAGGATAGAACTTCACAGTTGATAAGAGACAGAAGCAAGCCATTGGCAAGAGGCAAGCACTGCCTTCTCCTTTGTAGGTAAGGAAGGAGGACACTACGCACTGCTGGGGAGCAAATGAAGCTGAATATGGAATTTAGAGAAACAGGGATTGTGAAACTATAAAAAGAAGAGAATTAATATGGTCTGCCCAGGGCAAAAACAGACTTCCTTTCTTCAGACATGATCCCTGGTCTTCTAGAGAAAGTTTCTTCTGATTTTGAGATAGCGTCTATTTTTAGATTGATGTTTTCCAATTGTCTTAGTCAGGGTTTCTATTGCTGCAATGAAATACCATGACCAAAAAGTGAGCTGGAGAGGAAAGGGTTTATTAGGTTTACATTTCCACTCTGATATTCATCACCAAAGTCAGTCAGGACAAGAACTCAAGCAGGGCAGAAAGCTGGAGGCAGGAACTGATGCAGAGACCATGGAGGGGAGCTGCTTATTTACCAGCTTACTCCTCATGGCTTGCTCAGCATGCTCTCTTATAGAACCCAGGACCACCAGCCCAGGGATGGCACCACCCACAATAGGCTGGGCCCTCCCTCATTGATCACTAATTAGGAAATTATGATGCCCTATAGCTGGATCTCATGGATGCATTTTCTTAATTGAAGTTCCATCCTTTCAGATGACTCTAGTTTATGTGCCTGTTTTGTGGTCTGAGTTACATTAGGGTCCCTTAGAAGATTATTGGTGAGGGATTATTTATAGACGCAGGGGCACCTTACCAATGGCTACACCACTGAAGAAAATGTTGAGAGAGCCCTTTTTAGACTGAGAAACTGAGCAGTGGACAACTATCGTTAGCTCAAAAAGGGGCAAGAGGATAAAAAATCTCTTAGGAAGGGAGAGAAATTACACTCTCAGATGCTCTGAGAATAAAATGAAGCTAGAGAACTTAGTCTCTGACTCCCAGAGCAATCCAACCTCAAGGCGTGGCTCACCCACCCATCTGCTTAGAAAACCAGAAGGCAAAAATCAAGGTCTGTCTACTGTGATGTTGTTGATGGAAAGAACCTGCCTCTAAACTCTTATCCACTTCACTATAATTAATGTTGTTTTTCATTTTTGTTGAAATATGAATTATTTGTGACGTGTTCTTTAGTGTGTCATCAAATCTAATTTGGAATTCAAGTCAATCAATGTTAACATTTGTACATCACTATGGTAGTTTGAATGTACTTGCCCCCTTAATCTCATAGGGAGTGGCACTATTGAGAGATAGGGCATTGCTGGAGTGGGTATGGCCTTGGAGGAAGTGTGCCACTGTGGGGGTGGGCTTTGAGGTTTCCTATGCTCGGGATATCACCCAGTGTCTCTGTCGACTTCCTGTTGCCTGCAAGATGTAGCCTGTGCTACATCTGCCTGCATGCTGTCATGCTCCCAACTATGATGATAATGGACTGAACCTCTGAAACTGTAAGGGAGCCACCCCAATGAAATGTTTTCTTTATAAGAGTAGCTGGGGTCATAGTGTCTCTTCACATCAATAAAAACCCTAAAACAGAAGTTGGTACCAGGAACTGGGGTATTGTTGTGATAGGCCTGATTTTGTTTGGAGTAATATGGACTTCGGGAGTTTTGGATAGGAAAGCAGTGAAATGCTTTAAGCACTGCTTTAATAGGCCATACTAGTAGAAGCATGGAAGACAGTGGTGTTGAGTGTGACTTGATGAACTGTGGCGATCAAGAGGCTTCAGATGAGAAGAATGTTAGTATGTTGCCTAGAGACTGGTCTTGTGATACTTTGGTGAAGAAAGTGGGTGCCTTTTGCTCTTATCTGAAGATTTTGCCTGAGGCTAAAATGAAGAGTTTTGGATTAATTCCACTGGCAGAAGAAATCTCAAAACAGCCTAAAATGGACTCTGTCATGTGGATATTAGTGACCACTCTAATGAAGATTATAATGCAAAGGAGTGAATTGAGCAGGGTAAATTACAAACTGTAAAGTTTGAGGAAAAAAAGAGCACCAGAAAGTGGAATGGGGACTGGAGAGATGGCTCAGCGGTTAAGAGCACTGGCTGTTCTTACAGAGGTCCTGAGTTCTAATTCCCAGCAACCACATGGTGGCTCACAACCATCAACAATGAGATCTGGTGCATACAGGCATATTGTATACATAATAAATAAATCTTTAAAAAAAGGAAAGTGGAATGGAGCTAAGTCTTGTGTTCAAGGAGATAAATGGATTAGGAAATGGAATAAAGGGAGTGGTGACTTTAGGGTGAGATCCCACCTAGCTAAATTTCCAATTTGTGAAAAGGAACTAAATAAAAGCTTAGAGCCAGGTGTGGTGGGGCACACCTTTAATCCTAGCACTGGAAAGGCAGAGGCTTGTGGATCTCTAAATTTGAGGCCAGCCTCATCTAGTGACCCAGTTTCAGGACAGCAAAGCTTAGGCAGTGAAGGACAGAAAGCTGGTGAAGATGTAATTGAGTGAGGGAGCTATGTTCCAGCCCCAGCAAGCAGCAAAACTTGGTAGCTTCAGCTACATGGTTCTGGCTTTAGAGTTAAGGATAGAAGAAATGGGTTATGGAATTTGCCTCTACAACTAAAGAAAACCTGCTGAGTCCAGGCAAGTTATCAGGCGTGTTGCTGAATGGAGGTATAAAGAGGCCATTTTGTGAAGCTGTAGAGTTGAAGCCTGGATTGCTCTGTAGACCCCAAGATGTTGGAGATGCCAGAGTCATGAGATACATGCCGAGGAGAGCTGCTAACAGGGAGTGGAACCAGCCCAACAGAAAAAAGTGTGTTGCAGTCAACAAAGCTGAACAGAGTTGGAGATCTAAAGAGGATTTCGACATCAGACCTGCAGAGTTTGGAGTTTGCCCAGCTGGGTTTCTGGTCTTGCTTTGGTCCAGGATTTGTTCACTATGCTCCCTTCCTTCCTTACATTTCGGAATGGTAATGTATATCCTTTGCCATTATATGTTGGAAGTATGTGATCTGTTTTTTTTTTTAATATTAATTTAACGGGATTACAGGTAAGAGATTGTTTGAATCTCAGAAGAGACTTTGAACTTTGGACTTTTGAACATTGTTGAGACTGTGATAGACTATGGGAACTTTAGAAGTTGGACTAAATAAATTTTGCACTATGATGTTGTTATAAGCTTATGGGGGCCAGGGAGTGAAACGTGTTAGTTTGAATATAATTGACCTCCATAATCTCATAGGGTACTATTAGGAAGTGTGGCTTTGTTGGAGTGGTTTTAGCCTTGTGAGAGGAAGTGTGTCACTGTGGGGGAAGGTTTTGAGGTTTCCTATGCTCAGGATACCACCCAGTGTCTCAGTTGACTTCCTGTTGCCTGCAAGATGTGGGGCTCTCAGCTACTCCTCCAGCACCATATCAGTCTGCATCCTGCCATGCTCCCCACCAGGATGGTATGAGACTGTAACCAAGCCACCCCAATTAAATGTTTTCTTTATAAAAGTTGCCATCCATGGTTATGGTGTCTCTGCACAGCAACAAAAGCTCTAGACAATCATATACATGTTCCTTTTATTCATGTACATATAGACACAATGGTTGCCTGGCTCATCCTTGACACCCTTTTAAGCTTTAGCAATTGAGAAAATCATCTACAATACATTGTTGTAGAATAAAGGCCCAACAACAGCACTGATAAAGCTCCTTTCCATAAAACCGGCTTTCTATGACTGCTTTTCTGTGGAACGTACCTATAAGGAGAATCATTTTGACAAAGAAGGACCCATTTGGTTGAGCTGACCTGACAATTCTTACGGGATACTTTTCATATCACTGTAAAAATGACTTTATGCTTTAAAAAAGAAAAAAAAAAGCAGAATCACACTTACCCTTCTACGTACACTCGAAGGAGAACATCCACGAGGAAGAACAAAGCAATAGCAAAAGAAAGTGAGCGGTATCCCAAAGGAATATAAAAATTGCTGTTGTAGAGATGTAGATCTATAGCCATAAGAAATATGTCCAGAAAGATCAGCATAATTCCAAATATTCTAAAATGAATAAACAAAGAGAGCAGAGGTATTGCCTCCATAGTCACAACATTAAAGCCAACGCTCAGATGCCCACCCACCCCTACCCCCCACCCCCACCCCCGCAAAGTCCTCATTTAGAGCTAAACCGTCCTGTGGCAGAAAGAACAATCCTGCTTCAGAATCCTAAGAAAATGTTCAGCTTTTCACCCAATAAAAGCAGTGGTTAGTATATCAGATCTGCACCAAGCCCCTCCACACTTCCTACAGCAAGGATGCTACTTTAGTACACCAACCTAGAACCGCAAATCTAAATAAAAGTCACAAGCTTCTTGGTGTGAATGCTTTAAATACTCAGAATTCATAAGGTGTTTTATTTTCAAAACAAATTTCTCACAATAAATGAAGTCACATTAATCCAAATAAGTTTAAGATTGTAGCAACAAAAAGAAGTGGAAGCATGAATAACATATTCCTTTTAAAAACGCTTTAACCAGTAAATACACGATTATATATTCATAGGTTCACAAGATCCTGCACACAGGACAGATACATGAAAAAGAATTCAATTCCATAAATATTGCTTGTATATTTATTAATTAAATATTAATTGAACTCTTAAAGACTCCCTAAGCCTTTCTTGCACAGTCTCAAAAAACTCCTTATAAATTGATTATTTTCCTGAACTACAAAGATGAATCAACTCAGCTTTAAAGTGTGTTTTTAAACAACTACTGATTCAATTAAAATATTACTGAGGTTGGGGATTTAGCTCAGTGGTAGAGCGCTTGCCTAGCAAGTGCAAGGCCCTGGGTTCGATCCTCAGCTCTGGGGGAAAATTATTACTAATTTGCTAGGTGGTAGTGGCACATGCCTTTAATCTCAACCCTCGGGAGGCAGAGGCAGGCGGATCTCTGTGAGTTCGAGGCCAGCCTGGTCTACAGAGCAAGATCCAGGACAGGCACCAAAAACTACACAGAGAAACCCTATCTCAAAAAACCAAAAAAAAATTTTTTAAAAAATATTCTTAACTTGGGAGTTAGCAAGACAGTTCAGTAGTAAAACACCTGCCACTCAAGCGTGAAGACTCGAGGTTCATCCCCAGCAGGAACACTAAGGCAGGGGACAGGACAGTGCAGCACCTGCAATCCCAGCCCCAGGGAGGTAGATACACTAGAATCCCGGGAACTCACCGGCCAGTCAGGCCTAAGTGAGCACCCTGTACAATGAGAGATCCTATTTTAAAAAACAATAAGATAACAAAACATTGAAGAAGTTACCCAACATTGAGTTGTGGACACACACACACACACACACACACACACACACCCCTGCACAAATAGGTACAACACCATACACATACAATAATGATTTTAAAGGAAGCAATTACACTGTATAAATTTTAATAATCATGTAGAATAGAAATCTAATTAAATAGTAAAATATTTCTGGAATTGAGTAATTTGGGGTGTATAAAGTATAAAGCATTTACTAGAACATTTATTCTGTAATTACAGAATTTGAAAATGTATGCTTTCTTATGCTTTCTTATTTTTACATTTATGGGTAGAAAAATACCAATATGCCACTATTTAGATTTGAGCAAAGGTTGTGTCTTTGTACATCTTACTGCTCAGTCTTAACTAACCCTCTAAGACAGATGAGATCACATTAAATGTGGATACATGAGCTAATTTGTAACATAGTGATAATGGATGTTCTTTCATTTCGTTCTCTCTTGTCTTTTTCGGGTCCTTTCTCATTAAACTTTAAAAATTAAATGTCATAAACATTTAATTACTTCTACTTCAAGACCCTCACATACCTGAAGGTGACTGATGACACCAGGTAATGCACCATTTTCGTGATGGTGGTGCTGCAAAAGTTAGTAAAATTAAGTCAATCACATATGAGTTTAGCCAAACAAAATTCCCTTATAAGTATGAATTTTAAAGAAAAGTCCTCATAAGACAAAATGTTCTGTGCTAGTAATTGAAATGTTTACGCTTTTGCTTTTTTTTGTGTTCTTATCTAGAATATATGTGACTACACCATGCTTTGGATACTTAGTAACATATCATTGCATGTAAAGCTCTAACTACAAATTGAAGGGACCATTAAGCTTGGGACCAACTAAAGAAAGCATCATGGTATGGAGATGGAAAAGGGTGGTTTTTTAAAAAAGTGTTCCAATGTCAGCTCTTCTATTAGCAAATTAGGATCTCGGGCAAGTCATCAAGCTTGGAGATACCTCAGTGTCCTAGCAACAAAATTATGGATTTCTTTTTAAAGATATAAACTAAAGGAGCACTCTCAAACTGTTTCTGCAAAGCCAATATTTTTCTAATACCCAAGCCAGGTAAAGATACAACAAATTTATAGGTAGATATTCCTTATAAACACAGATACAAAAATCCTCAGTAAAATACTAGCACACTAAATAGAAACACATATTTACAAAATCATTCTCCAGGATAACATTGACTTAATCCTGGAAATTCAGTGTTGGTTCAACATACACAAGTCAATAAAGATAGTAAATCATACAGATAACTTGAGAAAATCACATGATTATTTCAAGAGATGTAAAAACAGCCTTTGGAAAAATCCAACATGCTTCATAATAAAAAACCCTAGAGACGCAGAACTGGAGGTGTCGCTCACAGCCACATTGTCCTAAATGAAGAAGAACCCAAAGCAATTTCATTAAAATCAGGATGACACAGGCTGCAATTATCCTCACAATACAGTGCTGGAAGCGCTAGTCACAACAATAAGGCAGGAAAAGGAAATTACAGGTCTACAAACAAGAAGTCAACTTCTCCTTATTTGCAGATGATATGATATTGTACAGAGATCCCAAAATTCCACTAGAAAACTGCTAGAAATAATGAACAGTTTCAGCAAAGTGGATGGTCCACAGTCAGCTCACAAAAACCAATAGCTTTTCTATACATCACAACACACATACAGAGACAGAGATCATGGACACACCCTGATTTACAACAGTATCGAAGACAATAAAATATCTTGGAATAAACCTAACCAAGGAGGTGAAAGACCTCTACATTTTCAAATCTCTGAAGAAAATGATTTCTAAAGACACCAGAAAATGGAAAGATATCCCATGTTCATGGATTCATAGCACTGATCCTACCAAAAACAATTTACGGATTTAATTCAGTCTCAATCAAAATCCCCATCTCATTCTTCACAGAAATAGAAAAGATTATATGGAACCAGAAAAGAACCTGAACAGCCAAAGTAGTCCTGAGCAATATATATTGGAGGGGTTGACATTTCAGACCTCAAGATATATTATAATAAAGCAATAATAAAACCAATATGACACATCACAAAAACAAACATGTATATTAGTGTAACAAAATCAAAGGGTCAAGTATGTGCAATTACAGCTTTTTCATATCTGACAAAGAGGCAAAAACACACACAGGAGTAAAAACCACATTTTCCACCAATGGCACTGAGAAACCTGGACATCCACATGCAGAAGACTGAAATTAGTCCTGTATCTATTACCCAAAATTAGATGCAAGTGGATCAAAGACCTCAATTTGAAACCTGAAAACACTAAAACTGCTAGAAGAAAACATGCAGGTGCAGGGAAGAAATTTCTGAACAGGACTACATTCGCTAAGGAATTAAGGCCAGAACTGACGAGTGGTACACCTTGTAAAAAGAAAACCCTTCTGTGCAGCTAAGGAAATAATTATTTGAGTGAAGAGAAAGTCTACAGGATGTGAGACAATCTTTGTCAGGTACACATCTGATAATATTTAGAAGATACAAAGAACTCAAAAAATAAGAAGTCCAGGAAAAGTAAATGATCCAATTAAAAATAAATTATATAATGAAAAGGAATAGGCTAGGAATCTGAACAGAGTTCTCAATAAAGGAAATAAAAATGGATTAAAATACTCAGAGTGTTTGTCATCCTTAGCAAACAGGGAAATGCAAAATCAAACAACTTGAAGGTGTCATCTCCCTGCAGTCAGAAGAGCTATAATCACAACACAGCTGATAACAAATGCTGAAGAGGGTGTAGAGAAAGAAGACCCTCCTCAACTGTTGGGAGGAATGCAAGCTTGTGCAGTCATCCTGGAAATCAGTATGGAAAATCCTCAAAAATATCTCTAAAAATCTGTCCTATGACCCAGCTATACCACTCCTGGGCATACACCCAAAGGACTCACCATCCTACTCCAAAGACACTTGTTCAACCATGTTTGTTGTTGTTTTATTCACAATAGCTAGGAAATGGAAACAACCTAAATGTCCTTTAGCAGATGAGTGCATAATGAAAATGGGATACATTTGCACAATGAAATACTATTTATCTGAAAGAAAAATGCAGTCATGAGCTTTGCAAGTAGACGGATGTAACTAGAAAGAAGGAACCCAGACTCAGAAAGACAAATGCTACATGTTCTCTCTCCCCTGCAGTTCCTAGCTCCAAACCTTGAGAGTTGGGTATACAACAAAGGAGTAAACACAGAAATTAGGAAATGTAAAGAAACCAGAGGTGGAGGACGAATTGAGGGGAGAACAGCAGGATGCAGGTGATAGGAAGCTTGTTTGTTTGTTTTTCCAGACAGGGTTTCTCTGTGTAGTTTTGGTGTCTGTCTTGGATCTTGCTTTGTAGATCAGGCTGGCCTCAAACTCACAGAGATCCACCTGGCTCTGCCTCCTGAGTGCTGGGATTAAAGGTGTGCGCCACAGCCACCCGGCCAATTGTACTTGTCTATAAACTCAATTGGTAATTATTGTGTTATTTTCCACATTCCTCTATTATTATTTTTGCCACAGACAAGATTCTTCCCCATCCTTCAAATATCAAACTCACTTACCAGTATGACTTGTGAATATCAATACCTTCATCATCATCATCATCACAGAACTTGGAGACCCGGTCTAATTTGCTTTAGCACCAACAAATGCAAAGATACATCATTAGAGATTGCTACATTTAACAGTAATATGAAGAAGTTATTTGAGCTAGAATCCCTTGAATCCATAGAGTTTTTGAAAATTTTTATTTCAAAATCCAGCTTGAAAGTGTAGGTTAGTCAAAAATGTTGCTCTTTCTAATTTCATGATTTGCAAATCCTCCCACCACTCTGCGGTTTTCATACACCATGGACAGTTTTCTTGCCCTTGGATAGTATTAAAATAACTAAAGGTCTGAGAAAAGGACTGCGCTGTGATACTGGCTCTGGGTTCGGGGCACCAGCATCATGTAGAGCCAGGGCTCTGGAAGGTGAGGGACAGACACACAGCTTTAAGGTCTATTAATTTGGTTCTTTTCTGTTGAGGGTTCCACTTTCTTCCCACTTACCTGTCATCCCTTCTTGCTCCAAATAGGACTTTTCTCTCTCTCTCATTCTAGTGGTGGCCCACAGGTGGCCAACAGATTAGGAGTTCAAAGCACTCTTCTAAGTATTTCCCCTTACATTCAACTAAGACAGAAAAGGACTTACTATAGCAAGAAGACATTAAAAAGTAACATCACAGTCTATATTGTCCCTGATGCTCCTAATGAACTCCACAAGTCTCCGTATCTTTCTCTTATGTGTATCCCAATAAATTGAAATATGTATAAATAGATATTTACATACACACAGATATATAATATACATAAATACATATTTTTAGATCTTACTATTTGTCAATGTTTCCATCCTGGATTTCTGACGTTACATCAGATGAGGCAATGCTAAAATAGTTTTTAAAAAACATATAGTCAGATCCCACATGATTTTCTAAAATTGATTTTTTGTTCAAATTAGCTATAATTACTGTTTGACATTCATAAACTTGTTAACTCTTAATAATTTAATGGAAAAGATTAACATTTAATATATCAAAAATGACAAAGGTTTAAGCACTGTTCTTTCAAATGGAAACTAACCACGTTGTATAACAGTATTTCATAGTTGGATTCACTTTAGGGTTCAATTTTGAGGTCCATTTTCACTAACATGCATTACTGATATTCTATACAGAGTTGCAGAATGCATTTAACATGTCCATCCAACCTCCATTCATCCACTGCCCAGGAACCTCATCAGTCCCTCATAAGCCCTCTATTCTGTTTTCAAATCCACTCTTGCTTTTCGTTAGATATATAAAAAATAATGCCACACTTGTCTTTCTGGATCTACTCCACTTTCCTCAACACAGTGTCATCTAGTTCCTTTCACTTTACTGGATGTGCAAGAATTTCACTCTTTTGGGCTGAACAATATTCCACTCTGTCCATATATTGTGTTTTCTTCACTCACTCATCTCTTGGTAGACATGTAGGGTCGATGGATATCTTGGCTATTGAGAATAGAGCAGTAACACACATGGATATGCAACTATCTTCATTATATGTTGACTTTGTTTCCTCTGAGTCTATACCAAGGGATTTCTTCAGATTTTTTTGCCATTTTTAAACTGATGTTACTGGTGTTATTTCTTGGATCTTTTATATATTCTCAGTATTGACGTCTGTCAGGTGAATGTACACTGTGCCTTCACTCTGTTTTTTCATTAGTGTGTGTGTGTGTGTGTGTGTGTGTGTGTGTGTGTGTGTGTGTGTGTGTGTCACAGCCTGAGTGGAGATCAGAAAACAACTTGCATGAAGAAGTTCTCTTCTTTAACCATGGGGAGCTTAGGTTTGGCAATTGTGCCTTTACCTGCTGGCAATCTTGCCCATTCTAGAAGCTTATCATTTTTATGTAACCTTTGCCAAATTTCATGTTTGTTTCTTGTGCTTTGGTGGTCTTATACAGATAATCATAACCTGTACCACTATCATATAATGTTTCACTCTGATAGTCTTTGAGTTTCTGGCCTTGATTAAAGTGCTTGCTACATTTTGAGTTGATTTTTGTGCAGGGTGAGAGACAGGGATCTAGTCTCAATCTTCAGCATGTGGATATCCAGATTTCCCAGAACGATTTGTTGGAGAGGCTGTTTTTATTCCAAAGTTTTGTTTCTGGCACCTTTGTTGAGAATCAGCTAGCTATAGACATGTGGATTGTTACTGGTTTTTTACTCTGTTCCACTCGTCTATGTGCTACGTTATGCCAACACTATGCTGTATTACTGTGGCTTTGTCCTGTGTCTTGGAACCAGGTACTATAGAACGCCTCTAGCTCTGCTCTTTGTGCTTAAGCCCTTTAGGATCTTTTGTGCTTCCATCCTTATTTCAGGCTCACCTTTTTAATTTTGCAAAGAATGTCATTGTCATTTTACAAATGTTGTACCAATCAGGAACCTACTTTAGTGCTTAGGTACACATCTGTCTTTTGGATACCTTCTTTTATGAGTCCGTGCATCCACCATTGATGGGTACTTCACAAATTGCAGTTGTTTCCGTCCCTCAGATATGGTAGTAACGGCAAACCTGAGGCAGGAGAGCCTTTCAAAATGATGGTAGCTGTGGCTTGTGGCGCCCCCCTCATGTGGGAGGAGCTCAGAAGAGTGAAGGTTACAGCTCTGGTATCGTAGCTTCTTTTTCATCGTTTGAGAACGCCTCTGCTCCCTGCTCAACGTTACCTCCTTTTTATGCCTAAATGGATATTTCTCTGCTCTTCGTCTGCTCCACTCTTCTGTCGCACACATGCATTCTAATAGTTTCTGCGGGTTTTGGCTGCTAGTAACTAAGAGTGAAGACTCGGAATCAGAGGTTCCCGCTTTGGTATAGTCTTCTTCTTTGTGCCACAATTTAAGGCACAAACAATGGTGTATACAGAAGCTCACCCTGACAGAACATGAGAGCACACAAAGAGCTGTGTCCCCTTGCATGGTCCTGACAGTACACACCCCAGTCTCAAACTCTGTGTGTTACGCGGGAAGGGTTGGTATACACAGAGAGAAGTGCAGAGGAAGAGGTATCAATATATTTATATCTTACAGCACACTGGTGGACACAGTGGAGCACACGGTCTTCAGTTCACTCGAGAGTGTGCTAAAGGATAAAAAAAAAAAAACCAAAAAACTCAAATGAGTTCAAGTTAATTACAACCTGATGATTATAACTGTCCTTCAACCTGTTCAATTTTGAACCTTCAGATTTTTTCACATATAGGGCTGGTGCTATGGGAAATGCGCCAGCCTAATACGTGCAAAGGCCCTAGCCAGGCAACCAAACAAAACTTCACATGTAAATCAGCCAATTACAGTCTAAGACATCGTATGCCCTTAAATGATGTTTCACATTTTAATAAATACTTCAATCTTGTTTAACGAGGGAAGAAGTTGGATGTTGTGGCATACTGCTACAATTCCAGCTTTTGAGAAGCTAGAGGAAGAGTATCACAAGTTCAAATTCAGCCTGGGCGACATAACAAGACATCTCAAAAAAAAAAAAAAAAAAAAAAAAAAGCAAAGGAAAGTAAGTAATGTTCTTGCCACTGAAGCTGAACCAATATGTGAAAATTATGGTAGAATTTTCGTAAAAATCCGGTTCAGTGTGTAAAAGCTGATCCACCTTGTCACATCTGATACCTTGTTTCCTAAGTGCTTCTTTTAACCTTCTTACCTCCCTCAGCTGTCTTTCCTGCACCAGAAAGCATCTCATAGGTATGAGTTTAAGTTCCTCAATGTATGATGTGTTTGGTTTGGAGGTACCTGCTTCATTTAGGAGCTGAGGTCTGAGGGTGATGAACACATCAAGAGTTCATTGTTTTTGTTCTCTCCCTCTAAGGCCTCCTCTGCTTCCTGTTCCCTGCTATCCCATCACTTCAACAGGATCTCGTCTTTCTTACTCAGGGTAATAAAATCTAACACACAGAAAGGTGGAAATTTTCCTAATTGTTTCAGCTGGTGGTTACTAAGAGTGTTAAACACACCGTGGGGTGTAAAAAGCATTGCTTTATGAGATGTACCTCTTTTATCCAAATTGGTCCCAAACGATAGAAAGGTCCATGTATATGCTAGAGGAACCACTTCTATGAGCCTCTAAATCTTATGTCTTTCCCTGCTTCTGTGTGTATATGTATAAAGGTGCATCTGTTGCTGTGTATACATGAAAATACAAATAGCACATATTTATATCGGTATATTTTCCATTATTCATTGCTAATGCATTTTGTTAACATATTAGTGTATATCTCACAGTTCACTGGAAGATCCTTCACCACGTAGTGACTCAGACTCATTCTGGAAAAGGCTAGAAGATTTAAAAAAACACATACAGTCAGATGCCATGTTGTTTCCAAGATATAACTTTCTGGCTCAAATTCTCTTGAATTATTCTGAACGCTATGAAGCAGCTAACGTTTACCCACATGGCACTGTTACTTGAAAACTTCCATATACTCTTCCTACAAACCACAAACTACCAGTGGGACCCCACTGCTGAAGACAACACCTACACAAATCATTGAACACGGAGAAGTCAAGCTGGTGCCTCCACAGAGCCTCGCCCCTCCCCCCCGCCCCATGCTAGCCTCTTTGGTGCAGGAAGGTACTCTGCACGCTACCAAAGGAGAAATGTAAACACCAACCCCACTGCTTTGATTTGTAGAGTATATGTTTAATTATTTTTGCAATCCTGGGGATGAGATAAAAGGCCTTGCACATCTGAGGCAAAGCTTCCATCCAAGGAAATGACACACTTGGAGAGTTAGAACCACTGAGCTCTGAAGACAGAGTAAGATCCAGGATCTTTTAGCCCGTTCTAATAGGCTGTGGGGGCCTCGGCTCCCAGCCCACTGCTGCCCCCTCCTGGCTGTAAAGAGGATCCCTTCTATTTGTGACCAGCACTTTTTACATAATAACTAAAGGTGACAAGCACCAGACAAGACCCTCTCTCTGACTTGTTATCTTTTTCTACATGATTCAAAAGACAAAGAGTATTTATGAAAAAAAAATTAGAAATAATTTTAAAGGAAACTTGTAATAATATGGATGCTCCTGACTATGAATAACACAAATATCAATCTCTGTGTATGTGTGTATGCAAGCACGTGTGTATATACACACACACACACACATATAAACTCGCACATATACATACACATATATATCTTCTTATTCATTTATATCTTACCTTTCTTTCATTACTTCATTTGAGGAATTTGGTTCATACATGGATGTGCTAAAGGTTAAAAACAGACATAGTAAGGCAAGATGAGATATCTTAGAGTTAACTATTTGGAATATAATATGATACTTTCCTTAGAAATTATGCTTTACATGATTATAATTAGTAAAAATACAAATCAGTAATTCAAGATTAAAATAGTTTTATTTTTTTCTGTTAAACCTGACATAATATTAGCTACTGTTAGTGGTGCAATTTGCTTATCTGACCGTGAGATATGAACAGGGAGCTACAGACCATGCAATGATGGTCTGAGGTTTAGAGGACTGTCTTTGACTGGGGGCGGAGATCTGGAGGGAAACGGACACGTTCAACTTTCATTAGCTCCATTTTTCACACTGAGAGCTGGATTGCTCCCTGTCACTGCTAATGTCCTTCTGTGGAAAGAGAGTTTTCTTCTCTCTCGCTCCACTCAAAATACCAATCTCTCATTTGTTTTTTATGTCTCTGTGAATATACATTTGCTGCGTGTGTATTTTCTTTATTCGCTCACAACACAGACTTTTCCTTGATGATTGCATCATAGATAAATCTTATCACCTCATTATGTGAGAGTCGAAAGTAAACTATCATGAAAACTATATAAGTTCACAGATCCTTTTAAATTCAGTTAGCTATGATCCTCTCTAATAACATCTAAATTGGTTGAGCCCTGAGCCTCCCTCTCATCTAGACCTGAAGGAGTATCCTGATCATACTCTAGACTCCTTTCAACCAACTTGGTAAAAAAGACAGATAGTTACCCACAGATGCAGACTTAGATACAGTGCCAAATATACCCTGTACTGTCCAGAATAATATGCAGAATGGATTTTGCAAAACTGAACCTTCCCTTCTTTTCCTAGTTCTATGCTTTTTGTGTATCATGTGTGTGCATATTCATGGAAGCACGTGTCCTTATGTAAGTGTTTACATATAGGTGTGTGTGTGCTGTCTTAAATTAACTTGTAACTTGATTTTCACAATTCATTCATGTGTGACCTAGAGTATTCAAAAGTATAGTCAGATACCAGGTATGAGTATAAATAACTTCTGGAATCAAATAATTACATTAATTCTATGAGTTCTGGGTCATGAATTGATTGAGTTTTAAATATTTATGTATATCACTAATTCAATTTGGCATTTTTATATTAGAAAAGATGCTATCTATAGATAGTGGCAATGAATCTCCTGGGATTGTGTAAATAGTAATTCACCTATAGTAATTTAAGTAACCAGTATCTTAATTCCAGCACATAACAGGTTTTTTGGATGGGATTTATTTCAAACTCAGCTACAGCTTAAAGACACTTGTTCTTCCGACCAGTTTCAAGTCGTCCTTGGTTTCACTTCTTGTGAAAATATAGGTGAGAATGAAGCAGCTGTGGACCTGTGGGAGGGGCTCCATCCAGCGTGGTGATGGGCGGGGTTTAGGGTGCCAGTCTTCCATATCGGCAGTGCTCTGGGTGGGCGGCATAACTGAGGTCCCTTACCTCTCCTCATTTTGGCCAAAGGCTCTCCCATGCCATGACCCCGTCTTCTGCCGTTCCTCCTTGACTTCTTTTCTTTTCATCTAACCCAGCCGACTGTCGTACACAAGCATACTGGAAAGTTCCTTAGGGTTTAGTGGGTGGTTGCTCAGACTTGCAACCAACTTAAGAGGAAGGACTTAGTGACCAAGTCTGCCCTTCTCCGTGGATTTGTGAGGAATAAATTTAGGTTTATGTGTCTGTCTGCGTGTCTTTGGCACACTGGGGTCGCACATCTTATTGACAGCTTCTCACCATGTACTAACTCATCCACAGAGGTGCTATAGGATTTAGAGAGACACATGGTGAATATCATGTGACTTCCTAGACTTCACAAATTACCTCTCCTAACACAATCAGTTATTCTGAAGCTTGTGTATCACTTTTCCACCAAAATGAATTTATGTATTTGAAATAGGCCTACCTTGCCTGGTAAAAAGCTCAGCAAGATTTTTGTCTGAGTTGATCGGCTTGATCAGTTTGGGAGGCAACTAGGCAGTGGGACCAAGTCCTGTGCTCATTGCATGAGTTGTCTGTTTGAAACCTGGAGTTTATGCAGGGACACTTGGCTCAGTCTAGGAGGAAGGGACTGGACCTCCCTGGACTGAGTCTACCAGGTTGATCGCAGTCCTCCGGGGAGGACTTGTCCTGGAGGAGGTGGGAATGGAGGGTAGGCTGGGGGTAAGGGGAAGGGGTGGGAGGGGGGAGAATAGGGGAACCCATGGCTGATATGTAGAACTGAATGGTATTGTAAAATAAAATATATATAAAAAGATTTTTGTCTGGTGTTTAGTCAAGGGTCAGCTTTCTGTTTTCAGGGTTTTTTGTTTGTTTGTTTTTTTATCAACTGCAACTGCAAATTCAGTTTCTAGGTACAAATCCCTCCTTCCTTATCCAACGATCTCCTTACTATTGCCCCCATAGAGGCTTCTCTACCCTGTGTAAGTTCCAGTACAGGCTTGTGCTGGGGGCTCTGAGCAATGGCGAGGTAGGTTTGTTTTGGGGTCCCTACTTCAGCACGGTGGAAGAGTTCTCAAGGCTGATGGATTCTTCCAGGACTACTAGCTGTGTTCTTGGCCAAAGGTCCCTCTGCTCCTTCCTAGCGTTCCTTCTTCCTGCCTCCAATTAGAATCTCTCTAGCCTTCACCCACTGTACCATACATAAAAGGTCTGAGTGTCCTACGCATCTGACTGCCACAAAGACAGAAGGACAATACACTGATGGGGAGAATCATCCTTCTGTGAGTGATTCTCTTTTACTCAACCTGAACCAAATTAAAAAGACTGTTCCCTACAAATACACCAGGAAGAACGTTTAGAAACAGTTCAAAGACTCTCTGTTCTGCCACGGATGCTCCTTGGAGTGCAGCTCCTCAGTTCCAACCTCTTCCCTCTATCAGTTTTATGCTTGGGTTTGTGTGTTCAAGCATATCGCAGAAGTGTGAACACATTAATACACTTATATGTCTTCATTTATATTTTATAACTAGCTATGAAATTGGTAATTCCATCAAATGTCATTGATAGCAAAGTATCTGAACCTAGGCTAAAGGAATATGAAAATACATGATCATACATGAATTGTAAGTCTAAGCTTTATTTTACATTAAAAAAATTTACATATAAATCTACAATTATATTTTACATAATAACAATTGTTCTATAACCTAATTACCAATATTGAAATATTCATGTATGTGTTATGAATTTAAACATGGGATTTATTTTTTTTTAATATAAGGCTTTATATGCCAGTGCTGAATGCCTCAAATCTGTAGAAATGGAAAAGAATCCAAAGAGAAGCAACCATTACTTTACTCTTAAAATGTAATAGCCTTTCTTAGTTGTACTTATCTCGGATATTAGCTGCAGATTATAAGGAAACCCCCTTCTTGTCTCAATTTATGATTCTCAAGAGCCTTTATCACATCATTACTTCCATCAATCATGCTGTCTTTCTTGTATGGGATGTGGTCAAGTCCCTGCTGTTCTGACAGAGGGGCTCCCTGCAGAAAGATGGGGGAGGGCTGGAGCACTGGTCCATGTGGCGGCAGCTGGAGGGTGAGGATGCTTCTGGTCTCCATATCCTGTATCTCTTCTCTTCTGCTAAAAGCCCCACACCTCCCTCTATGCTCATTCTTTCTCTTTTCTCCCGATCAGATTCTCTCCTTTCCTGGCTCACACTAGTCTAGTATCCTATAGGAACTCTGAACACTTCCTAAGGGATTGGCCGATACTTAACGTGACAAATTGGCTGAAGGAAGGATCCCATTTTCCTCAATTTTGTTTAAAATAAATGCAGTCAACTACAAGTCCTACAAAGAGATTACTTAGATACAGTTTAAAAGGCCTTCTGATGTCAAAGATATTCTTGAGGTAGTTTTATCAAATCTCAACCCCTTCGCATGGTTTTTATGGGGTTTGTGTGTATTTTCAGGTGTGTGTGTGTGTGTGCGTGTGTGTGTGTGTGTGTGTGTGTGTGTATGTATGTATGTATATATGTATGTATGTATACGAGTGCGTCCTGATGGAAGTTTGTAGATCTATGTAGGAACATACACATATACATATTTACATATGTGTGTATATATAAGAGTACATATGGGTGTATGTTTTTTAATTCAATTCACTCACCTATCACTCACAGCTCCATAAAGGGATTGTGATGCCGATTCATCCGTATATGTTCTAAATGATTGAAAAGCATGTAGTCAGTAAAAAGTACATATATTTAAATTTTAATCACTTTTGGGGAATCAAATAACTGCATTTAATATACTTATTATATGGTAGCTGATTTTAAAATAGCCATATGAAAACCACTAATTTGCATCTTGTAGGCAACTGAGGAAAGCTGGGAATGGGAGAGGTGGTCCTCCCCAGGGATGAGCACATCAATTGCTTGTCCAGTGCCAAATGGTCAGCACTGAAAACACATACAAGTAACACTCTACCAACTGAGCAGATTATATTTAGCAATATATGCATATAATATACATATACATACATACATGCTGTAATAATTAATGGCAGAAGTGGCCATGGATTTGAAGGAGAGCAAGGGGGTATGTGGAAGGGTTTTGAGGAGGGAAAAGGAGGAAGAGCGAAATGTAATTAAAATATAACCTCAGAAATAAAAAATGTAATGCATCCGGATTAACTATTAATTCCGGAGTGTAACAGTCCATTGGTGCACTATTTCTAATTCAACTACAGTTTGTGGGCCCATAGCTTTCTGACCACATCTAAACCCCTGAGTCCTAACTCTGTCTTCTCCCCTCTTACTTTCACCCCGGTGTTTCTCTCCTCCCCACGAGATAAGATGAAGTAGCTGCAGATGGGAGGCAGCGGCTCCATCTGATTCAACAGTGAGTATTCATGTGGGGCACCAGTAGAGAGAGCATGAATGGTGAGGGACACATGCAGGTTCATTGGCAGATCCTTTTCTGCTAAGCCTTCCAACCCCTACCAATCCACCACTCTGTCTCTATGCTCTGAGGAGACTCTCTCTTTGGTCCACACACTCTTGCTATCTCACTTAGTAAATCTGATCATTTCCAGTGCAGTTGTTGTTATTAAGGGCGGGAAATACTGACCCCCTCCCCAAAAGCATCTCATTGAGAGAGATGTATACTTCATTTTTGCCCATGGTGTACCTGCGGGTAGATCTTTATAGACCTCGACTTCCTTTTATTCTTTTTTAGATCAAGTCTACTCGTTGACTGTGTCATGTACGTATATAATGCATTCTGATCCTTCTCATCCCTTATTGTCTTCTATCCTTTTCCACTCCTCCCACTCCCCCTCCAAACAATCCCCTTACTGCTTTTATGTCTTTGTTTTTGTTCTTTGACACACCTTAAGTTTTAGAGGGTGGGAAACATATCCCATTTAGGGATAGGTACTCAGCTGTCTTTTAATGTTGGCTTCTTTTTTCTTTTACTGTTCAATGTTCCTGTATATGTTGTGGGATATTTGTACACTGTGTGAAGATATAATGCTATGATTGGTTTAGTAAAGAGCCGAATGGCCAATAGCTAGGCAGGAGATACAGGCGGGATTTCTGGGGAGAGAGAGGAAGAAGAGGTGCATAGGAGATACCATGGAGACATGGAGAGCATACACAGAAGAAGCAGGATGGGTGGTATGTGACAGAATGTAGATTAATAGAAATGGGTTAATTTAGCTTATAAGAGTTAGTTAAAAACAAGCCTAAGCCAAAGCCAAGCTTTCATAAATAATAATAAGATTCTTTGCCATTATTTGAGAGTGAGTTGGGGCCCAAAGGAAAGTCTGACTACATACTGGGAGCTGGTGGGACAGAGAAAGACTCATCACATGTATATGTACATGTCTTTATATAAATGTATATATGCACATACATATTCACATATTTATGCATATATGTATTTTTTTGTTTTTTTTTTAACTCACACATCACTGAAGGACTCTGGATAATTCACTGATGTTAGGTCATCTGGATATAAACTAAGGGATTATAAAAGTACAATGTTACACACAAAACAATTTTCCTGACTTTTTAAGGTTAAAATGACTGTACTTCCTCTAAACATTAGCTGGTTAAACTTTGAATATCCATATGAAGATCATTATTTGAACTTGTTATGGCATTTTGATTAGGGATTGGGCTTTATAAGTTAATAACTATCTTACCAGATATGATAGCTCAAGCCTATAATCTCAGCAATAAGGAAGTTGAGGCAAGAGTCCAAGGCCAAGGCCAAGTCCAAGGCCAGCCTACATAGTGAGAGCAGGCTAGCTGTGGCTACAGAGTAAGACTGCTTCAAAAACAAAAATTAACAGTGACACAAATGATTATCTTAGGCCAATGAAAATAATAATATCCACAGATTTAACTATTACCTCAGCACCAACATATAAGTGATGTTATTTCAGACTCAACTTCCGTTTGTAGGTACACATCACCATGACCTCACCTGACTCCTGGCTCTGAATTCTCTTCCTCATCTGCTCATTTTCATAGTGTACATGTGTCTTTTCTGCCCATCAGACAGGGTGCACTCTAAAATGATGTCGAGTGTGTGTTGGAGGTACCAGCCCAGCACAGTTGCAGAGCTTTTGAGGGTTGGGGACAATTTTAGTATCCGTGTGTTCCATCTTCTGTTGGAGCTCCAGAGCCCCATGTTTGATCATTCATTACCACTGCCTTGACCCCAAGCAAGACTTCTCCTCCTTTTGAATGTTATTCCCCAAATTAAATTGTTGATGTCCTAATCACTGTTATTATTTAGAGACAGGCATTGCAAGCATAAACAGTTACAAGATGAGATCACACTAATAAATTCAGTCTTAATTCAATATGAGTGGTATCCTTATAGAGATGAACACGTTGGAATAAGATGCACATGGGAAGAATGCTAAGTATGAATTGAGGCAGAGGCATAGAGGATGGATCCACATGCCAAGGAATGCCAAAGATTTCCCCCACAACCAGCAGTGGGACAAAAGAGGTGTCCAACTTAATCTTCTTCAGAGCCCTCAAAAAGAGCTAGCCTTGAAGGCATCAGGTATCAGACTTTTACCTCTGTGGGGTATGGGGTAAATTGCTGTTGTTTAAACTATCTAGTTTGGAATGCTTTATTACTGAAGCCACAGCAAATTAACTCAACACTTCAGGTATTGTCTCACACACAGGCAATTCGACAGTTTTCTGTGAGTTTGGGTCACTAGGCACTAAAGTTTCTCCTGATGTGTTTCTCATTTATTCAACTAGATTCAAAACAAGAAAGAATGTGATAAACAGATGCTGGCATTCAAATACTTTAGAAATACTATCCAAAACACTCTATGCTTAATACCTGGGTATCCAAAACACTATGTTTAATACCTGGGTATCCAAAACACTCTATGTTTAATACCTGGGTATCCAAAACACTCTATGCTTAATACCTGGGTATCTTTATATATACATGGATGTAACTGACCTTCCATCACTTCCATCATTGGACAGTAGAGACTCTTCATGTGTGTCACAGCTAAAGAATTAAAATTGTACACAATCAAATACCATTTAAATCACAGGCTTACTTTGCACTAACTCTGCCTACAACTTATAAATTGGTTGAACCAAAAAAAAAAATTAACCTGATAGGGGAGAAATGGGAGTGGGGAGATGGGTTCACTAACAAACACTAAGGCTCTATGAGAACTCCATGGAAATTCACTACTCTGTAAGCTAACTTTAAAAATTTATGCTTGTGTCCAATAGATTTGCACTAGCTCACCCTTGGTCAGAGAAGCTTCAAGCTGTGGTTAATGAGGAGAAATAACTGGTCACAGTTCTGCTGATATTAAGTCACTATGAATGATCGGTCCCTGCATGGAAACCCCAGGTTCAGAAAACACCATGAAAGAAGGGGCAGAGAGAACGTAAGAGCTGGAGGGCAGGGGGAACGCTGTAAGTGCTGTCTTTCCAGACACGACATGGCCATTGACCCACGAACTACAGCTACCTGAACAAGACCTGTACAAGATCAAGCCAGCCGACACTATGGCATGGACTGAGGAGGGGTTCATGAGGTCCCAATCCTGGCTGAAGAGCTATTGGCAACTGATGGCTATTTGGGCAGGAAGAGTCCTATTTCCCTGGGTATGAGTCCAGGGGAAAGCACTTATGTCCCAGGGAATGGTGCCATGCACAGGTGCCATAGGCAGTGCTAACTGAACTCCATGTGTTAATTAAAAGGGGATTCGAACAGAAGTATTGTCCTTTGTCCCTAGACGTGAAGGTTTATGTGAATGAAAGACATGGGCTTACAAAAGAAACTTTAATATGCCAAGATTTAAGAGCTTTAGTTCCAAACCTAATGTTATATGAAATAGTCTTTTGTGATGGAATTTATTTTAAACTCAGATTAATTTCTATAGGAAGTCAACCTTTGTTTCTAATTTTGTTTGGCAATCTATGCTTATTATATTTTCAGGAACGATGTATAAGATACATTTAGATACAGATTAAGTCACAGAATGCCCAGGGGAAATTGGATTTTAAAAATGTATGATATGAGCCAATTTTCTTTTTTTAATAGGAAAAAACTTATTTGCTATTAATAGTCCACCTATAAACAATCTGTTATGTAACAGTGTAATTGTTTGCTATTAAGAAAAATTTCTCAGTAAAAAGTAATGCAATGGGCTGATGTCACCCCCCCCCCACCCCTTAGCCCGTCTAGTTTCTGTTCCTAAGTCCTGTCATTTCCTCCTCAGGTTTACCTAGGAAGGCTGTGTTTCCCACCAGTCATTTGATATCAAGGAACAGCAGGGCTGGAAGCTGGAAGTGCTGCTAGTGGATCTGGGTTGAAAGACTAGGCCTCCATGGATGCCAAGCTCTGGAGCACTCTTGTTTATTCAGAGTCCTCTGCTGCCCACCTCTCCCACCTCTGAATAAGATCCTTATCTCCCTGGCTCATTGTGAACAACACACACAGTCACTGAAACAGTTTAACTAAGCATTTGGCTTGCTAGACTCTGAAGTTCTCAGCAGACTGTCATCCAGTATCTTTGGATCAGGCCCATCATTTTGTATCTAGCCCCCAATCAAAAATGCTGCACACAGATGCTGAAAGGTTGTCGTGTGTGCTGTGCGTTGTCACGCGTACGTTAAAAAGGTTTTCCCATCCAGATTGAAAGAAAAAGTCAACTCACCAAATGTTGTCATTTAGGTTAGAGGACTGTGAATCGCTAAGTGACTCCGTTTTATTTCTGTGAACCAACAACAAAAATATATGCAAAGAATAAAGTTAGACAATATCAAAGGATTCATGATTTTCCCTATAGGGCACAAAATGAAGTTACATGCAACAAACTATGCAGCAGATGGCAGAAGTTTAGGCCATGGCCTCAGGTTAGCAGAGTGGAAACGTGAGCTGTTCTCGGGGGGGGGGGGGGGGGGGGGGGGGGGGGCACGGGGGGGGGGGGGGGGGGGGGGGTGTATGTGCATGCACAGTGTGTGTGTGTGTGTGTGTGTGTGCACTCACAGTGACTTAATATCAGCACTTTGACCAGTTATGTCTCTTCACTGACCACAACTTACTGCCAAAAGAAGCTTCTGTGGCCAAGACACACATTTTTGCTGGAAATAGAAGGATGTAGCAATAAAGGGTCAGCAATAAGGATTAAATGTCCTCCACATGTTTTCTACCATTTTGTCAGCAGGCTACTCTGGGACTAAGTCATCTGGAGAGACCATAATGGAGGAGAGAGAGGATGGTGAAGAGAGCATCTCCCTTCATCTCTGCCCAGTGTGGCCACTGGGAGTCCTTGGTAGAAAGTGCTTCTGCAGGTCAGAGGCTAACACAAAGAAATGGATATGAGCTGGAAGGGAAAGCTGAAAGGTCCCATGGGAAAGAGCTGGGGACCCTCATATGAAATCCTTGAGGACTAAAAAATAAAAGTTAACAAAATACAACATATGAAAGTCTCAAGAATAATATTATGAAATAAATGATTAATAGCTTAAAAATTGCTATGTAGCAACCATACAAAGTGATATATTTAAATTTTTGCAATATACAGATATTCTTTTTTTTAAAAGATGTATTTATTTATTTATTATGTATACAGTGTTCTGTGTGTCTGCCTGCATACCAGAAGAGGGCACTAGATCTCATTACAGATGGTTGTAAGCCACCATGTGGTTGCTGGGAATTGAACTCATGACCTCTGGAAGAGCAGCCAGTGCTCTTAACCTCTGAGACATCTCTCCAGCTCCCCAGATATTCTTAAGTTAATACAACTCCTATGAAACCTTGAATAGTTATAGATTCCTAGCCAAATGAAAACTAAAACTGCATGCAGCATTCTCTGTCCCAAAGCTCAGAATCAATGGAATTGTTGGTTTCGAGAGGTAACAGCGAAGTGTTGAGATTGCCACGAGTTAGAAAGAAAACCCCATGCTCTGCTTCCTTTGATCCGCAGATCGAAATACTCCACCTTCTGAAACAGGTTGGGGAAATGCCTCCCAAAACGAGTGGTCAAAGCCATCAGCCTTAGATGTTCTGTGTTAGTTCCCTTTACAAATTTTATCTTGCTCATTCATGTGTGTGCTATGTGTGTATGTGTGCACGCTCATGCCAAGGCATGCATGCAGGGGTAAAAGGAAAACTTCTGAAAACTGACCCTCTCCTTCCATTCTGTGGATCACTGGAAACAAACTCAAGGCATCAGGCCGGGGCAAAAGCACCTTTAACCACAGATCCATCACGCTGGTTCTATGTGTTCTTTCTTTGGGGTTTTTATGTACTAGTTACTTTTTACTTATTCTATATAATTTTTTTCTACTGGTATCGATGTAATAGAACTAGTTATTTTTGTTTATGACTGCATTTTCATATCTAGTTTGTTCATATGTTATAGTTGTTTCTGCTACTTGTTTTCTTCTTTCTGAGAGGTGCTGGGGACAGATTCCATGCCCTGAACATTGGTTACTAAGATATACACCCATCCCTGTTTTGAAAAACCATACCTCAATCCAGCTATGATATAGCACTGACTGAACTTGGAAAATACTTCAAACCTTAAAGAATAAGGCAGATAAAAACAGCCAGCCATCAACTCTTTCCCCAGATAGACACAAATAGGGAAGACCTGAAAAGCCATGGTCCATTTCACCTCCATCATAACAGCAGAGACTACACAGCTTCTACCTCCACCACATCAAGTGCCCCCAGCATAGGTAGCCCCCATAACCCTTCAGACCACATATTTTCAAAAGTCCAGAAAAGAAAACACAGAATGCACACCCTACATGCACATCTGTCTACAAACACCTACCTCAACTTCCAGAGGGTCCCCACTCTTGTTACAACCTACAGAGGAAATGGGTCATATAGGCCCCAGCACAACTACACTTTACCAAAACCAGGAATCATTGCCAAAGAAGCTATAAAGAAACTACACTAAGAATTCATTTGGAATTACACTCAACACTAAACACAAATTGATTTCTCCGGGCATTCTAAGGGAAGGCTGCTTCCTAAGAAAGATCTCACAAATGCACAAACTTCAACATAGAAACACAAGGAATTTTAAAAGCAGGCAACATGGCATCTCCACAAGTTAAAAGAACTCTAGAAATGAACTCCAAAGACATAAAATGAGATTAGATGCCAGATAAATGATTCAAAAGAATGATTGTTTAAATTAATAATAATTTCAAAAACAATATAAATAAACAGCTGATTGAATTAGAGAAGACAATGAGGATATAAAAGAGCCATTCAGTAAGGAGATGAAAATTTGGGGGAAAACTAGAAATCTTCTAAATGAAAAATCCAGTAAGTGAAATATTAAAATAGCTCTGTGTATAATCTCATGAGGTAGAAGAAAAACAGGACTTGAAGACAATATTGATAAATTAGAACATTTAAACATTAAAAAAAAATAAAAAGCATCTCAAAAGGAGTGAACAGAAAATGCCAGATCTCTGGGACACCATTAAAAAGACCAAATGAATATTAGGCATAGATAAGGGGTTGGAATGGAAGTCCTGGCTAGCAGCTCAGTGATAAAGTGCTTACTCAGCATGCACAGGGTGCTGAGTTTGAATCTCAGCATTGAAAAACAAATAAGAGGTCTCTGGAGGACACACACAGTGCCACAGTCTTAGAGGCTCAAGATACTGCCAGGGCCATACAGACCTGGGTGGCCCATGCTGCCACTCAGGGCCATGGTGTCATTTGGTCCCAAATTGTGGCTGTGGGCCACATCTAGGTCTGTGGCCCTATCACAGCCAGGGTCTCTGTCAATGTTCATGGATCCTGTTCCATGAACAGGAAGGTTGAAGGCTGAGTGGATCCACAAGATCTGGGCTGTCACTTGGGGACATGTTGGCATTTGGGGGCCACTGACTGGGACCATGCCAACCTGGGTGATCTGCAATGCCAACCAGGGCCACGATGACACCTGGGTGTGGGCTGTTACCAAGGACCGTGTCTGGGTCTGTGGTCCTACCTCAGCCTGAGTCTGTGCTGATGTTGCCACCAAAGGCCACACTGATGCCCAGGATCTGGGCCTTCACCTGTGGCCTTCTTGGTGCTCGAGGGCTGTGCTGCTGATGGGCCCATACAGACCTGAGTGACATGCACTGCCACCTGAGGCCAAGGCAACCATACAGGCCTGAATTGTAGCTAGGGCCATGTCTGGGTCTGTAGCCCCGCCACAGTCCAGGACCCACACTGATGTCTGAGGCTTCTGTTGCCAACAAAGGCAGTGCAGATGCCCGGGATCTGGGTCCATGCCTGGGGCCATGTGGGGGTTCAAAGGCTACACTGCCTTTGGGTCCATGCCAATCAAAGTGACCTGCACTACCAGCTGGGGCCATGGTGACATCTGAGCTCAGGTTGCTGCCAAGGACCATTTTCCGGTCCATGGTTCACCCACAGATGGGGTCCGTATTGATATCCATGGCCTGTAGGGCCACTAAAGGCCACAAGGATGTCAGGGGTCTGAGCCGCCACCCAGGGGCAGATTAGTGTCTGAGGGTTGAGCCTCTGCTGGGACTATGCAGATCTGAGTAGACTGCACTGCCATCAGGGGCCATGGTTCTGTGCTGATGGCTGAGGCCTCTGTTAACACCAAAAACACAAACAGTGAGGATATGACTTCATAGAGTTGGCCCTGCCCCTCACTGGCAGCAACACTAGGGAGAACTGGACTTGCCCCTCTGTTACTCCACTTGGGCTGCACACTAGAGCTGATCCTGTTGTTTGGGGCATGGGTGAGCCTGGCCTGTGGGTGTGAAAGCAGGTCTTTCCCTACCCCCACCCTCATATGCCATGGGGTGGCAAGGATAAGGGAAATGTGCCCCCCTTGCCACCTACAATGGGCAGGAGGGCCAACCCGGGGCCAGGGCCTGAGAACAGAAGGGCTGGCCCTTCCCCTCACCAAGTACAGCAATCCAGAGAGGGAGCCCCGCACCTCACCTGGACAAAACAGAGCTGGTGGTGTGGGTGCCCGTGCACCGAGGTGTGAGAGCAGAACTGGCCCTGCGCCTTGCTGCCTGCTGCAGTGGGTGAGCTAGAGAGAGCTCGCCCAGATGGTAACGATGAGGGAAAGCTGGCAGGCTGACCAACCCAGCTACCACCCAGGCCAGAACCAGGACTCTGAGGTAGCCCTCCCCAACACCCACCCCATCTAGGAACTGCTGAAGAATGTGCAGGGCCGGACCTACAGATCCAAAGCTGCAGGATCTCCATGACACAGGGCAACCACAGGATATCCAAGAGGAGCCCCAGTGAGGGCCCAGGATGGGTAGTATAGCAGAAGCCAGAGGCCTCAGACCAGAGCAATGACTCATGGCGATGAACACTTACAAGTAGAGATGGATGGACTAAAGGGTAGATTGTTGACTCACTGGGCCACACTGCAGCTTCCATGCTGAGATTTTTTTTTTCAACTTTTAAATTTTCTTTGTGGTGGTGGCGGCGGCGCACGCCTTTAATCCCAGCGCTTGGGAGGCAGAGCCAGGCGGATCTCTGTGAGTTCGAGGCCAGCCTGGGCTACCAAGTGAGTCCCAGGAAAGGTGCAAAGCTACACAGAGAAACCCTGTCTCGAAAAACAAAACAAAACAAAACAAAACAAAACAAAACAAAACAAAAATTAAAAAAAAAATAAATAAAAATAAAAATTTTCTTCTTGA